CCAGCTGCACCCAGACTCCCCTGAAAAGGAGTTTAGAAAGCAGGAGGGTCCAAAGGGGTCCAATCTGAACCTCATGACTTGACAGGAAGGTCTCCTTCAAACTTTTATCTGACTCTGGAGTAACTGAGTGAAGGTTTTCAAACAGCTCTCATTAGGTCACTCTCTTATTCACAACTGAATGCTGCTAAGTGACTCTCTTACCTCAATAACCACGCGGCTGTTTCTCCATTGCAAGCGAAGTGCATCATTTCCCCTCATCCCCAACAACAGCACAGACATCACAAGAGCTGCTGTGAGGCTGGAGCAGGAGGCCACAGTGAGGAAGCTCAGGCCACAGTCAACCTGGAACACCCTGAAGTAGAGAAGGAGACCAAGATGGGTCTTGTCCCAGGCAGGTTTCATCGTATGGGCTTTGATCCCACTTGTCTGGAGTGGGTGGGGAGGGCACTTCTCTGCTTGTTGCTCCTTCTCAAAGCACAGGAGCTGATGTTGGCAAGGATCTCTGGAGGTCACCTAGTCCAATTCCTCCAGCCCCCTGCAAACTCAACTAGAATGCGAGGTACAGGACTATGCCCAGTCATCTTCTAAACATCTCCAAGGATGGAGAAGACTTCAAAAACTCTCTGGACAACCTGCTCCAGTGCTAGAGCACCCTTGTAGTGATGGGGGAAAAAAAAAAGGTGTATTCTTATGTTCCGTTGCAATTGCCTGCATTTCAGTGTGAGCCCATTGCCTCTCATCCCATCTCTGGACTGGGCCACTGAAAGAGACTGGCTCTGCTGTGTGCTCTTTCATGTGCTAATGCTCGTAGATGAGATCTCCTACTGACCCCTCTCTTCTCTGGGCTAAATATTCTCAGCTCTCTGTCTTCTCTCGTATAACAGATGCTCCAGCACCTTCAGCATCTTTTTGTCTCTTTGTAATGGTGTCCAGGATGAGCTGCTCCTTCCCTGGGATGGAGGTGAAAATGACTGACCCGTAGCTCCCTGGCTCTTCCTTCCTGGCATTTTTGAAGACTGCAGGGACATTGGTGTTCTTCCATCTTCAGGTACCTTTTCTGATCATCATAACCTTTCACAGATAATTGAGAATGGCCTTTCAATGACATTATCCAGCCTCCTCAGTTCTTGTGGGCGCATCCAACAAAGCCCATGGACTTGTGTACGTGTAGTTTGCATAAGGGATCTTTAGGCCAATCCTCCTCCATCAAGGAAAAGTCTTCCTTTTTTCAAGACTTTGCCCTGGTTTCTAAGGTTTCCTGTAGTCCAGTCTTACCAGTAAAGACTGAGGCAAAGGAGGAGTTCTACCAGGGCCCCTGCCCCATCCAGTAGTGGGTCCACATTTCCCCCACTCTTCCTTTTGTTACTAACGTAATTAATGGAATTCCTTCCTAGTCTTGACATCCCTCACAAGATTAAATTCTGGGTAGGCCTTGATCTTCCTAGTCCCAGCCATGTGTACTCAGACAGCTTCCCTTTATCCCTCCTAGGCTACCTGTCCCTGTTTCCACCTTCTATATAAGAAGTTTTCATTGATGCTCTCTAGCAGCCTCCCAGTTTGTTCATGCCTTGCTGATATCAGGGTGGTTGCAGTCCCTCACGAGAACCTGGGCCTGTGGTCATGAGTCTACTTCTAGCTGTGTGTAGAAGGCCCCATCAAGTACCCCTTCCTGATCAGGTGGCCTTTAGCAGACACCCACAGCTGTCACCTGTACTGGTCTGCCCCTTCATCCTTGCCCACAAGCTCTCAGACAGCCCATCATCCACCCTCAGCAGAGCTCCATACATTCCGTCTGCTCTCTCCATACATTCCGTCTGCTCTCTCCATACATTCCAGCTGCTCTCTCCATATGTTCCAGCTGCTCTCTCCATACATTCCAGCTCCTCTCTCCATACATTCCGTCTGCTCTCTCCATACATTCCAGCTGCTCTCTCACACAACAAGTGAATCTTGCTCCTCATTTTCCTGGCCTCTCCTTCCTGAAGAGTCTGTGTCTATCCTTGGAGCCTTCTGGTCATGCGAGCTGTCCCACCACACCTCAGTGTTCACAAGGAGATCATACACCCACAGCTGCACATAGATCTCTAATTCCGCCTGTTTATTCCCCATGCTGCGTGCGTCTGAGCACAGGCACTTCAGAGAGGCGTCAGAACATGCTGATTTCCCAGAAGGTACTAGAGGTCTCCCCACAGTCTCATCTTGTAGGCACCTCCCTGCCTTCATGCAAATGCTTGAGGTACTCCCACCTCAGCCCTGCTTTGTTGATAGCGTCATGGTCCCTGTAACTCTCCCTCCTTTCCTAGTTTCTTGCCACTGAAGAGCTACCTTTGCAAGCCTCTCCCTCAAGATTCTTGCAGGGTTAAAAGTCACTTTTCCTGAGCCAAGCAGAAAAACAGTCTCCTCTTCAAGCAGGTAAGCTATACCAGAGAGCACCTGGGGGGTTTGCTGGTCTTTGCATCTTACTAAACATGTCCTCAGCCTCTTGGACATGGAGAACAGGGAGGGCAGAACCTCCTCATCACAGGGCCCTTGCAGGGATCCCTATCAGTGCACTACCAGGAGCAACAATTGTACTGGCAACCAGTCTTCTTGATAGTGTGCAAGCAGGCGTGCAAGCAGGCTGCAGCTGCTGGTGATGTTCTAAACAAAACAGTGCTTTAGAGGGGAAATTCATCCTGCGTTATTGCCAGTTCCACCAGCCAGCCATCACTTCAAACTAGGTCTGGACCAGACCCAAGGTGCGGACTGTTACCTGCCCTGTTCCAGACTGTCCTCTCTGGTCACTGGGACATGGCATTTTGGAGAGGAGAGCCAGTGCATTGCCAACACACCAGCCAGGAGCACCTTCCTCCTCCCAGCAGGAGCATCAAGAACCATCTGCGTCCCCAGCACCAACAGTATCAGTCAGTGAGCAGCCCTGCTCCCCCATCCAACCCCTCCGGGCTAGTAATCAGTGAGCAATGGTGTGAGGGAACCCTTGACATGCCATTAGTTACCATGAGAAATCACCTTGTGCATGTGTGAGAACGGAAAGAAGCAGGGTAAGGGGGAGACTATTTCAAGGACCATCTCTCTGCAAGGAAGGAGGAGGGAGGTTTTGCTGCCACATCAGCCTGTCTCGTGGTGTGCAGGACATCTGAGGCAAAGGGTTTAACTTCGGTATTTCTTACCATGTGGCTGTGTCACTGACTTCTGAATTGCTCCAAACTATTGCAAGAAAGACAGGGCCATTCCTCTGGACGGAGGCTACAGCCTCTGCACCAAGCCTGAGTTCATCATCATGGGGAGAGTGTCACCTGCAGCAGCACTCAGATCTCTGCATCCCTCCTGCAGCAGGATTATTGATTCCTTGCTGCTGCAAATAACACGACTTTTCATCTCTGTGCACCTGCATCCAGCCAAAGGTTATGGATGGCATGTGAAGGAATATGTCACTCCTTTCTCACCTCTTATTATTTCCAAACACTAATTGCAGAGCATAAACATATGACAGTCCTTACACAACTAACCTCCTACTGTTACATTTCTTTTTACTCTTATCACTTTGGTTCTTGAGGTTCCCCAGACCCTCCTGTGTAAAAGCAAATCCCTGCCTGTGCTGGTGCTAGCTCTACTGCAGTTCATTAGAAGACTCTTGCCTCTGTTACCAGCTTGTGGCAGTCAGCAGGGTCCTGGGCAGGGACCTGCCTCTTGCACCTCTGCCGTGCACAACCACCACCTGCCTTGGTGCTGAGGAGGTCACGCATGGATTCTGCAGGCCCACAAGCAGGTCACACATTGCAGTGAGGGAGAGCTGGAAAAAGAGGCGATTTCAGGTACTGCTCAGAACTTGCCTGGGTCCTGCTCCGCTCTAGCCCCTGCCCAGCCTCCCTCTGGCCAGCACAGCACTGCCCAATAAGCCAGGCTCTTCTTGCACCAAAAGGCCTTTGTTTGGGGCAGGCTGTAGCAAGAGAGGCAGTCTCAGATTTCCAGAAAATTGAGTGATACAATCCTTATGCAATTGTCAAATGTAGGAAAAATAAGTAAATTCCCATTGTTAAAGGAGACGTTGATCTGGGAGGATACTGGAGAGCTTGGCCAGCAGTGTTCTCTACACATACTTGCAGCCACATCCAGGATGGAGTAAAGAGTTCAGATGCCTTTGTGCTAGACAAAGGCGAGCGAGTTTTTTGACTGAAATTTCTTCTTTCAATATTAAAGAGTTGAAAATTTGGAGAGGAAAAGGGAAATGAATCAGAACTACCAGTGATGATATGCTTCAGAATGAAATGATTAAAGCTGTTAATCTATGCAGCACATATTGAAACAAAAACTGAGACTGATCATAGTGTGCCAGCACTTCAAGAAAGTGCTATTGCAATAGATGCTCGTTAACCTGAGAGAGAAAGACTTACTGAGGTTGAATGAGACGGAGCTGACATTTAAGTAATTCCAACAGGAAATAAGGTGCACAGTTTTAAATAGTTTAATTACTTGGAGTAAATAGTCATAAGAAAAAAAATATCCCAACAAAAGCAGTGAATTCTCTATTATACAACACTTGAAAATTGAGACTGAGACTTGGACAGAGAGGTTGAAAGCAGAGGAGGGGACAGAGCAGTTTGGCACCATAAGCAGAGCTAAACGGAGGCAAGGAGCAAGTGAGCTGGGACGCTTCGGGTGGGAAGGGTGGGCTGGCTGGAGAAACACCCTGCTCGGGGCCAGGAGGCTTCCACAGCCCTGCACACGTGGCAGGCCCTGCTCCCGCCGTGCGCGTCTCTTGCGTGGCTCTCGTGCATCAGCGTTCTCTCGCGTGGGTCTCCGGGGCTGAAGGGCGGCTCTCCAGGCTCTAAACTCACAGTGTCTGAGGCGCCCATGAGGGGAAGCTCCCAGCCCCTACGCTGGCGGGACCTGAGCCATCCTGCCAAGGAAGCGGTGGCACCAGGACCCCATTAGCTGTCTTGTCTTCACTGCCTCTCTGCAGTGCTTGTTTCTCACTGCAGACAGACCCACCGGGCCCCATGGCTGAGGAGAACCAGACTCAGGTGACCGAGTTTGTGCTTCTAGGCTTTCCCCAGGAACGGCCCTTCCTCTTCCTCATCTTCCTGGCCATTTACCTGGTCACAGTGCTGGGCAACGCTGCAATTCTTGCACTCATCTTCCTGGATCCCCGTCTCCACAGTCCCATGTACTTCTTCCTCAGCCACCTCTCTTGCCTGGATATTTGCTATTCATCGGTGACAGTGCCCAAACTCCTGGCCAACACCGTGCACCTGCAGGCGACCATCTCCTACCAGGGCTGCCTGGCTCAGATGTTCTTCCTGATGGCGTGTGCGGGGGCTGAGTGCGCGCTCCTGGCCGTCATGGCCTACGACCGCTACGCAGCCATCTGCCGGCCGCTGCACTACGCACGCGCCATGCGCTGGGGCGTCTGCGTGGCGGCAGCCGCCGGCTGCTGGCTCTGGGGCCTGCTGGACTCGGCCGTGCACACCTTCCTCGCCTCCCGCCTCTCCTTCTGCGGCGCTGCCCGGCTCCGGCACATCTTCTGCGACGTCCCTCCGCTGCTGCGGCTTGCCTGCAGCAACGTCCGCCCCAGCGAGGTGGCTCTGCACGCCGCCAGCATCTTCGTGGGCCTCAGCCCCTTCCTCTTCGTTGTCGTCTCCTACCTCCGCATCCTGGCTGCCGTGCTCAGGATGCCCATGGCGGGCAGCCGGCGCAAGGCCTTCTCCACGTGCGCCGCACACCTGCTCGTGGTCGTGCTGTACTTCGGCATGGCCAACCTGAACTACAACCGCCCCAGCGCCGGCTACTCGCCAGCAGCAGACACGCTGGTCTCTGTGCTCTACTGCATCATCATCCCCATGCTGAACCCCCTCATCTACAGCCTGCGCAACCAGGAGGTGCGGAGCGCCCTGAGGAAGGTGCTGCAGTGACGGAGGTGCAGGACACGAGCAACGCAAGCGCTGCTTCCACCAGTGCAAAAACAACCGGGCATCACCCGGCTGTGGGAAATCCCTGAAGGGAGAAGCGGGTTCAGGGTGCTGCTCGGGGAGGGGAGGCTTGCGAGCACACCACCATTGCTTGTCCGGTCCCTAGCACAACACTAATGGCAGAATTGCAAAATCAAGCTGAGAACAGCTTATAACCCTCGACTCGTGTCTTTATTTTGTACACATCACATGCTGAGTTCCACACAGGACTCACTGCTGCAGCTGGGGGCCAAGCAGCTCAACCCCTAGCGCTGCAAAGGCACTGAGAGAGAGAGGCAGCTCCTTGACAGAGCGAGACAGCAGCAGCACCAGGGCCTTGGCCTCTACTCCCTTTCCCAGAACGGGTATTTAGGCACATTTCAAACACTCCTGATGTTTCACGTTTTCTATAACTAACTTAGACACTGCTGTTTGTGGTATGTCTGGAAGGTCTTTTGGATACCGAGTGCTAAAACAAGCTGTCAGATGTGCTGCAAAAGGCCATGCCATTGGGTATCAGATATGTTCTGACCCTAAGCACGACTGTGAGCTCTGCCTTGAAGTTGCTCATAGCACTGAGCGTGGTCCTGCATGCAATGGCCCAGCGTGCAAAACCTGGCTTTAGCATAGGCGCTGTCAGTGCAGACTCCCTCTGCAGAGGCTTTCACATTGGTCCTGCTGAGTTCTCCAGGCTGGACAAAAGCTCTGTAGTGCTTTGTACATTAGCATGGCAGCCAGCAGCGCAAGAGAACCAGCCTCTGCTCTCAGCAGTTTGGTCCAACAGTGAGCTGTGAGCACCAGCACTGCTTAGCCTCCCAGCAGAAGAGCTAGCTTTGCTGCACAGCTGCACGCACTGGAATGCAGTGTGAGAGCAGCACTGCTGTGGCTGCTGAGGGCAGAGGGCTGGCTGTGACCCAGGGCTGCCACCCCATCCCAAGGCCGCTCTCTTGGCTCAGCTCCATCAGGCCCCGTGGACACATGCAAGGGCTTTGCACTAGGGTCTCCACGCAGCTTTGCACGGGTGCTGTGCCAATACCAAGGCTGGCGAAGCCCACAAGCTTGGTGCCCCATGGCCAGCACACACCACTGCCCTGGCAGAAGATCGTTCATGCCCCATCAGTGCCACGGGCTGCATAGGCAGGGAGGCTGGCACGGGCTTGGCATTTCTACAGCAGAAACCAAGGCTGCAGCAGGGCTGGGTGGCTGGAAGAGGCCAGGACCTGCTCAAACATGACTCCTGTCCCAAGGAGCTCCTAGAGAAACCCAGCCTCTTCCCAAAGAGACCTCAAGCAGAAGCAAACTCTGGGACTGAGGGCTACAGTTTGCTGGGCTCAGCAGCTCTCTTCAGCACACAGCACAGGGATTTTATTCTTTAGAAGAAAAAAATGTGTAATCACTGTGTTGGGTTGGCCTGTTGATTTTCACATACCTGTGTCTGATGGTAAAAAAATATGGAAATGCCCTTTCTTTAGAGTGTCACTAGGACACATAACAGCATTGCTCCAATCCCCACCAATAAAGCCCATTATGGGAGACTCCATGGAAGGAAAGCCAGAAGATAAAGGGTGGTCTGTATAAGACAATGCTGGGAAAGTTACTGCAAGGGGAAAAAAAAAACAACTTCCATAAAATTTGTATTAGAAAATACCAATTTCTTACCTGAAGGCATGAGGTTTTACCATGATCTTACAGACACAGACCGTGTTTCTCAGTTTTTAACACTCAGAATTGGTGCTGTGCTGTGCTCACATGAAGTTTGCCTTACCCAGGTGCAGGAAGGTCCAAAACAGAATCCCAGGATGCCTGAGGCTGGAAGGGACCCCCAGGGCTCCCCCAGCGCAGCCCCTGCTCCAGCAGGGACACCCAGAGCACGGGGCACCCGGGCGCATCCCGGCGCGCTGGCAGATCTGCAGAGCAGGAGCCTCCGCAGCCTCCCTGGGCAGCCTGGGCCAGGGCTCGGGCACCCTCCCACCAAACAAGYTCTTCCTCACGGGCACGTGGAGCTGCCTGCACTGCAGCTTGGCCCCAGGGCCCCTTGTGCTGCCACTGGCCACCACCCACAAGAGCTTGGCCCTTCCTCCCTCCATCCTCCCCTCGGCTGCTTGCACACACTGACCAGCTCCCCTCTCAGCCTCCTCTTCTCCAGCTCAACAGGCCCCGCTCGCTCGGCCTCTCCTCACACCACAGCTGCTCCAGGCCCTTCCTCAGCCCTGTCGCTCTGCACTGGCTCCTCTGGAAGCTCCATGTCCCTCTTGTCCTGGGGAGCTCAGAGCTGCCCCCAAGGCTCCAGGTTTGGCCTCCCCAGAGCTGAGCAGAGGGGCAGGATCCCCCCTCCCTGCCCTGCAGGCAACTTCATCCCAGAAATACCACATCAGTAATCACCAGTAACGTTCTTGCCCCACAGAGGAAAAGCAGACAAGTTATTCGCTACTCTAGCGAGAGTGTCCTTTATTTTCAGTGAGCCAGCACACACCTCTTGCATTTTATGGGGCAGCTCAACACAGCCAAGCTCATGTCTGCATGGAGGAAAAGTTAGCAAGTTCACGATGAGAGTGAAATGGCCCCAGGTTTCAGCCCTGAAATCTGCCCAGGTGGGCAAGGCTCGTGTGCCTCTACCCCACAGTACAAAGATGGTTTATCTTGCATATGTGGAAATAAAATCCTGCATCTGTAGAATCGAAGATGAGTCCAGCTTTCACCCTGCTGTTTTCATGGACCTCTAGGTAAGGTAGAGCCATGGCTTGAGACAGCGTATCTCACTCTACAGCCGTAACTTCTGGACTGAGTTCCAAGAGCAAGGAGGGGTGCTCAAATGAAAGTGACAAAGGACAATTCAAAAGGAAAAGCTTGCATATTCATGTCCCTTTTGCCTTGGCCAGATTAGAGCTGGTGTTCTGTGATTGCCCTGATGTAACAGGAATGAAAATACTTCCCCTGCAAGTCTGGCATGTGGAAAAACTGCCATAGTTTACAAAGAAAAGATGTCCTATATCTCCCCCACACACTCCTCAAACCACCCCATCTTCCCCACCAGGACTGCATGGGGAGCAGAACGCAGCTGGGCATAGGGAGGTCTTCAAAACCCGCCTGGATGCCACCCTGTGCCACATGCTCTAGGTGTGCCTGCTTGAGCAGGAAGGTTGGACTAGATGATCTGTAGAGGTCCCTTCCAACCTTAAATATTCTGAAATATTCTGAAATAGGCCAAAACATTCCCTGAAACACTGACTGTTTTCTCACTGGTCCTTTTCCCATTAGACCCATCAGGATGAGCCAAACTAAGCTAATAACATGTAAAAGGATTAAGCAGAAGGGAGCAGAAGTTTGAAAGGAGGATGCTCAGGCAATGTTGGTCTCATTGGAGAAGCTTCACATAATTTGCTGGAAAGAGGCCTACTTTGCCCCGACATTGTCCCCGCCACCAGCCTTCATCTACCATTTCGATGTGTGTGATTGTGTCATCAGGATCAAAGGAAATCTCATCATCGCCATCTGCAAAATTGATCAGAAAAATCATCATAGTATGAAGAAACATAAACATGAGAAGGGGAAAGAAAGACCTGAGAGAGAAGGTTTGTGTGTGCGCACACACACACACGAGGGGAATACAGTCAGGCTGACAGGACTCAAAGTTCATCTCATCCAAGCTCTCTCCCTGAAACCAGCACAGATATAGCAGAGGAAAGATTAAGACTTCACGGATGAAAGATGAAACTTCCATATTTCCAAGTTATGTCTCTTTCTGCCTCCCAAGAGGAAGAACAACCTTGATTTAAATGACCAAGTTCAAATACTTCCACCACCACTGATGGTGTCACCACATCTCCCAGACCTGAGAGCAGCTCTCAGTGCTTCTCTTGGCAGACTAACTGCCTTTCCTAAACCCTGGGTGACCAACGCACCTCCTTGATAATCGTAGAGAGCTACTGCACATGTTCCGGGGCTCTCCACTTCGTACACGCAGTCTGTTTTCCCTGCAGAAGACAGGACAGGTAAGTGAGAAAGAGGCTGACAGCAATCACACAGATTTGGTCTGTGCTACCCTCCTGTTGGCTGTCAGTCTCAGGGAGAACCACATCCAAACGCTGCTCGAGTTTGCTCTTAGGGACTCCTGTTAGGGAGATGCTTTTCATGGCATCAGCAAAGCAAGTGTCTCCACTTCTTCAGGGAGAAAGGATGAGATGGTCTAAGCTGATGCTTCATGTTCCTCCTCCAAAGTAGACTTAACTCCAGCCTCCCCCTTTTTTACCCACAGCCCCAGTGAGTTTGTGATAGGAACCTCAATACCAGCCTGTGCAATTTGATCACATCCTGGAGGAGGTCTACCCTAATACCTGCACCTCGCTCTTCCCAAGGTTGCCAGATCAGGTCTCACAGTCAGGTTTTGAGCAACAGGCTGAATGTCAGCAACAGGGAGGCCAAGAGCCCAGTGAGGGGCTAGCAGTTCCTTCCTAGGAAACATCGCACCAAGGAAAAGAGCATGAGTCCCAGTGCAGCTTGTCCAGGGCTGTGGCAGCTCTCCTGTCCAACTGCCAGAGACAGCTCTGGTAGACAGACCTGGAGCCTGGCCCACGACCCAGGGCCACTGGTGTCACACCTCAGAGCAGGACAAGCGGGTGGTAGAGGAAAAGTTCCCATGAATGCGACCTGCCTCCCTGACGATGGAGACATCAGGATACAAAAACCCTTTGCCATCTGCCGGGTATTGCAGGTGCTGAGCAGACAGAAAACAAGCTCCCCAAGGTACAGGCTCTTCCCTCCACACTCACCCGGGTAGTGCTGGCTCTGACTGGGCTCCTCAGGGAGGATCTCCTCGTAGTCCTCGCCTCCATCCTCATCATGGTCATAGGTGGCAACCGACTTTCCTAAAGGCTCTGGCAGCTCCTCATAGTCAGCGCCCATGCTGGTACTGTCACAGTAGTCAGAGGGCTCTGGTAGCTCCTCATAGTCCCCACCATCCAAAC